AGTCACGCCAGGTTTTAGCTCCAGTTACGCCAGGAACAAGTTGTGCAACGCAGGGAGTTCTTTTGCCTCTCTAGACTCAGCATCTCATTTAAAAGCATCCGGTGGCCCTAGCAGCCTAGGCTGGGTGGTTCAGTGGTTATTAAGGGCACAGGGAGACCTGAGTGGCACCAGCACAGCCCAGGGAGCCACTGGGAGAGGAGAGGGGTCCAGCAGTGACACAGCCAGCAAGTGTCTGCACAAGGAAGAAGCACTGAGAGCTGGTCAATCTGCTCTTAGCCTGAACTTGGTGATCTCAGAGGCCCGGCCCAGCTCTAACATCTGTGACTCAGCTGGCAGCCGCGTGGACCCAGTTGCTGGGGGAAATGCTGCGTGCACATTTATTCTGGGTTTGGATATTTAAAGAGCCGGGTGTGTTGAGGGACATTTCGGAAGTGCTTAGGGAGGGAGGGAGGGAGGGAACTGCAGACTGGGCTTTTCTTTAAACACTTATAGATATCCTGTCTTGATCTCTTGGTCCACAAAGAGTAATTTTCTTCCCCTAAGAAAGTGACGTGGGTCTTGCCCATTGTGTCCGCCTCGCTGGCTCCCGGCTGTGCAGCCCAGCAGGAAGCAGGTGGCCTGAGGTGAAACACATGCCCAGCCCAGCTCAGGCCACTTCTGAGTTCCTGCCCAAGGGCAGCCTTGCTCCCCACAAGCAAAACTTGGCATGTCCCCTAGACTGCTGGGCACCTGGGGCACGGGGCTGACCCTTCACCTGGGAGGAGAAGAATGGAGCTCTCTGTGAGCCCCCAGGGGTCCTGGCAAAGGTGGCAGCCATGGGCCCTGGGGACACGGGGCAGCCTGGGCTGCTTCTTCCGCACTTGCTGTTTTCACTGGCTCAGGAAGCTCTGACTGCAAGCTGGGACTTTGTTTCCAAATCCCTGCGTCATTTTTACTATTTGAATGGCCACTTTGGGCTGCTTTTAGGGAGGTGGCTCTTTTGTCGCTTTCCTCACTCAGGATGTTGTTTCCAGTAGATTTCCTCACAGACTCCGTCTGCTGCCTTTGTTTTCTCTTCTGGGGGCAAACAGAGAAATCTTCCAGAATGGAGACTGCATCAGTGAATCGGACCTGCGGTGCTGTGAGCCAGCACAGTTTCATTTTTCTCTTATGACATTTATTGTTTTTATTTCTGCTTTCAGAGGTCATTGTGTCTACATGCTCATTATAGCACATTTAAAAAAATATGGGAAACACATATAGGTAATATAGGAGGAAAATGAATATCACCCATAGGCCCAGTAGCCAGAGATCTACCTAGAATTCCAGTGATAATTTTTTTGTTTTGTTTTGTTTTAAATTGGGCTCACACTGCACACATTGCTAAGGAACTTGCTGCTTTGCTGCTTACACCCAACCCTGTATCCTTAACACTGTCCCATGCTCTTTTATATTTTGCAGACACAGTTTTTTTTTGTTTTTTTTTGTTTTTGGACAGAGTCTCACTCTGTTGCCCAGGGTGGAGTGCAGTGGCCTGATCTCTGCTCACTGCAACCTCCGCCCCACAGGTTCAAGCAGTTTTCCTGCCTCAGGCTCCCAAGTAGCTGGGATTGCAGGCACCCACCACCACACTTGGCTAATTTTTGTATTTTTGGTAGAGACAGGGTCTCACCATGTTGACCAGGCTGGTCCCGAACTCCTGACCTCAAGTGATCCTCCTGCCTCAGCTTCCCAAAGTGCTGGGATTACAGGTGTGAGCCACTGCGCCAGGCCGCAGACACAGTTTTTAAGTCCCTACAGCTCTCCTTTGGCCTTGCCACCAACAATCCTGTGTCAAAGACGTTAGCCGGTGTGAAGGAGGAACGAGGACAGGAGAATGGAGTATGTCACACAATCCACATCTACATACAAAGCCCAGATGGAGAAAGTTGTGGGTGGCTTTTCTTTTCTTTCTTCTCTTCTAGAGTGTGCACATTTTTCTGTCACAAACGCAGGAGAAGAGGCAGAATAACGTGGCGATCGGAAGTGTAGGCTTCGGCAGCCTGTGATATGGGTGCAGTCCTGCCACTAACCAGACGAGGTGCTTAACGGCAGTGTGCCTCAGTTTCTTCATCTGTAAAGTGTGAACAATAATGCGACCTGCCTCACATGTCAGCTTTGAAGATGCAGCTGAAGTCCAGTAAATACCTGGTCCTCAGTGACAATTAAGGCTTTATATGAACATTGCGATCATAAAAAGTCTGGCCAGGCACAGTGGCTCATGCCTGTAATCCCAGCACTTTGGGAGGCCAAGGCAGGTGGGTCACCTGAGGTCAGGAGTTTGAGACCAGCCTGATCAACATGGTGAAACCTCTTCTACTAAAAATACAAAAAATTAGCCCGGCATGGTGACTGGCACCTGTAATCCCAGCTGCTCAGGTGGCTGAGGTAGGAGAATCACTTGAACCCAGGAGGCAGAGGTTGCAGTGAGCCAAGATCGTGCCACTGCACTCCAGCTTGGGCAACAAGAGTGAAACTCCATCTCAAAAAATAAAAATAAGGTAATAAATAAATAAATAAATAAATAAGAAGTCTAAAAGTCCCTGCTATGGACTGAATTTGGTCCCTACAAATACATCTGTTGAAGTTCAACCCTCAGCACTTCAGAATGTGACTGTTTTGGAGACAGCATCCTTACAATGGTAATTAAGTTACAATGAGGTCATTGGGGTGGATGTTTACCCAATACCACTGTGTCATAACAAGAAGATGAAGAGACACCAGGGATGTGCTTGCACAGGGGAAAGGCCATGTGAGGACACAGCAAGAAGCTGGCCGCCTCCCAGCCAAGGAGAGAGGCCCCAGGAGAAACCAAACCTGCCCATACCTTGATCTCGGGCTTTCAGCTTCCAGAATGGTGGGAAAACAGACTTCCGTTGGGTAAGCCACTCGGTCTGTGGACTTTGTTATGGAAGCCCTAGCAAACCAATGCAGTTCCTTAACAAGAACATCAGTGTTATAGTTGCTCATCTAAGCACAGTGCAGAGGCAGCTGGTATACCCTAGACAAGTGGAAAACAGCTCGACTGCAGGCCCAGCAGTTCCTGCCCACCACGAGAAGCCCCCCTTGCCTTCGCAGGGTAGCCGGTGGCTGCATGATATCCTTGGCTGCACAGAGCCCCCAGGCTCTTGCCTCACCAGGCCTGTCTCTTCCAGGCAACAGGGTCTGTCTTAGCTTCATTTGGAGGGCAAGTGCTTCCTCCTCCTTCAGGAACCTTGGCCAGCCATTTCCAATAAAACATGTGTGTCTGCACTTGAATGAAGTGGTTTTCCACCCTCCAAAGACCAGTGGGAGAGTTTTCATGCACAGTCCATTTGCATCACTGACATGATGCGCTCTGAGAGTGGGGTGCTGAATCCAAGACTCAGGTGTAGAAAGGGGGCCGCTGGAGGATGTATGTGCAGTGCTTCCTCAGATTATGAAAGCACAGCCAGCCTTCTGTTGGAAGCACAGGAAAAGTGTTTGCTGGGTAAGGATATTTTCCATCTTTGCAAACTGTGGGCCAGCTCTTTCTCCTTGGCTAGGGAGGTAGCCAATGCACCTTGTCTGCTAAGTCAGCCTCTCTTCATCCCTATTTTCTCAGTAGACAGCCTTATAAATCTGGCTAATAACTCCCATTTCATTTCCCCAAACTCCATTAGAGGGAAATTATAATGAAGCTCAAATACTCACCAGGTTATTCATGGGAAGGACCTTTGGCTTTTTAAAAATGCATTTTAGATGGCTGGATTAATCTAGTGGCACATTACAATGCAGCCCTGCTGAAGTTTGCAGGAGATTCCTGGCACCCGGCATTGTGCACTGCACAATGCCGCCAAGAAGCGTGAATTATCTTTACAGGAAGAGGCAGGAATTAATATGTCAGATGGAAAAGACCCACTGGCAGCACCTGATGAAAACCCAGGACTCTTTGCTCCCTGTCAAGGTTCTGCAAGGTTGGAGTCATAATCACACAACTCACAAGCAAACGCCCTGAGCAGGCTCCTCTCTGCAAAGGGCATAAGGGCAGAACAGCAGAGAAGTGACACACTACCCTCTCCATCTGGCCCTGCTCACCCACAAGCGTTGGGACAGGAATATTTGTAGCCTTGGAAAGAGGCACTTACCGAGATGCTTAATTGATGAAAGGCACATTGAGAAAAAGCTGCTGATTTCATTCCTTTTATTACCTCTCTGGCACAGCAAGTTAATTAAAAAGAAAGTACGATTGCAGCTTTGTATTCATTAACCAGGTTGATTTGTAATGTAAATATATGCATTTGTATGGTGCATACATTAATGTAAGAGTAATAACAATAAAGATAGCATCTATCACTAAATGAGTTCCAGATCCCAGGGAAGGAATGATCCACAGATTACTTACAACCCTTCCAACAACCCTGTTCGAAGGGTTATAAATAATGTTGACCTTACTGGGGCCAACATTATTAAATTTATTTTATTGATGGAGAAACTGAGGCTCAGAGTAGTTAAGGAGTTTGCCCGAGTTCACACAGCTAATGTGTGGTGTGCTGGGATTTGGTCTACATGAGGAAATAGTACATTTGTGGCAGAGTGAACTGAAACTTCTTTCTGCACACTCCTGCTTCAATTCCACCACCTAATCCTCAATGTGGTCATGAGAGAGGCCCCATGCGGTGGAGAGAAGCCAGATTGACTGCCACCATTCGCTGTTGTGTAGAATGAGGAAGCTCCGGAAGTCACCAGAGCAGGAAGGAGCACAGGAGCCCTTAGCACAGGAATGGCAAGGACACTGGTTATTTTGCAAAAAAAAAAAAATAGCTCCTTCATGTTAATATGAAGAACACACTTTTCTCATACAGATTAAGTGGGTTGATTTTTGGAAGGGCAATGCTCCTTCCGGTAGTGGATTGTTTTTGGTTTCACATACCTCAGGAGAAAACCAATCATGCTTGAAGTGAAAGACCAGCTCCATTTCCCCTCCTTCCCATCCTAACTTTTTTACTCCTTTATCCCTCCAGAGGAGCAAAGAGAAGCTTGGAGGAAGAGAAAGCCGCTAGTATTCAGTGAGAGGATCACTCAAATCCTTCACCAGCATGCTCAATGAAGAATGCATTCAAAAAATTAGACGTTTTTTTCTTCCTGGCAACAAAATCTTGCCAAAATAAGCGTTCCAATGGTTTTATTTGTGGAGAGCCAACGCTTTCCCCCAAAATATTTTTTCCTGTTTCTTGTTTGGCTGCTACAAATAAAGCTGCAATGAACATACATGTACACATCTTTGCACGGAAGTAGCTTTCTTTTCTCTTAAGTAAATATAGGTGTATTTCATTTTATTGTACTTTGCTTTCTTGTGTTTCTCAGATGTTATTTATTTATTTATTTAGAAATTGAAGATTTGTGGCAATCCGGTGTAGAACAAGTCTGTCTGTACCATTTTTCCAACAGCACGTGCTCACTTTGCATCTCTGTGCCACGTTTTGCTAATTTGGGAATACTTTAAACTTTCTAATTACTATTATACTTGTTACGGTGATCGGTGATCAGCAATCTTTAGTGCTACTACTATAATTGTTTTGTGGTGTCATGAACGGCACCCGTATAAGGTGGTGAACTTAATTGATAACGTGTTCTGACTGCTCCACTTACCAGCTGTTCCCCCATCTCTCTCTTTCTCCTAAGGCCTCTCTATTCCCTGAGACACAACACTATTGGAATTAGGCCAGTTAATAACCCTACAATGGCCTCTAAGTGTTCAAGTGAAAAGGAGAGCTACACATTGTATTAATCCATTCTCACATTGCTATAAAGAACTACCTGAGACTAGGTAATTTATAAAGAAAGAAGGTTTAATTGACTCACAGTTCCATAGGTTGTACAGGAAGCATGGCTAGGGAGGCCTCAGGAAACTTACAATCACTGCAGAAGGTGAAGGGGAAAAAGGCACATCTTCACATGGAGGATCAGGAGCAGCAGGGAGACGCTACACTTCTTAAACTAGCAGTTCTTGGGAGAACTCTATCACAGACAGCACTAGAGGGAGGGTGCTAAACCATTAGAAACTGCCCCCATGATCCAATCACCTCCCACTAAGCCTCAATGTCAACATTGGGGATTATAATTTGATGTGAGATTTGGGCAGGGACACAGATCCAAACCATATCATTCTGCTCTGGCCCCTCCCAAATCTCATGTCCTTCTCACATTTCAGAATATAATCATACCTTCCCAACAGTCCCCCAAAGTCTTAGGTAGTATTAACTCAAAAGTCCACAGCCCAAAGTCTCATCTGAGGCAAGGCTAGTCCCTTCTGCCTATGAGCCTATAAAATCAAAACAAGTTAGTTACTTCCAAGATACAATAGGGCTATAGACATTGGGTAAATACTCCCATTCCAAAAGGGAGAAATTGGCCAAACCAAAGGGGTTACAGGCTCCATGCAAGCTGAAACCCAGCAGGGAAGTCATTAAATCTTAAAGTTCCAAAATAATCTCCTTTGACTCCATGTCTCACATCCAGCCCACACAGATGCAAGGGGTGGGCTCCTAAAGCCTTGGCCACACATCTCTTGCTTTAAATCAAAATCTAGAAATAATTAAGCTTAGTGAGGAAGACGTGTCAAAAGTTGAGACAGTCTGAAAGCTAGGCTTCTTGCACCAAACAGCCAAGTTATGAATGCAAAAGAAAAGTTTTTGAAGGAAATTTAAATTGTTACTCCAGTGAACACACAAGTGATAAGAAACAGAAACAGCCTTATTGCTCATATGGAGAAAACTTGAGTGGTTTGGATAGAATGGACAGAAGATCAAACAAGCTGTAACATTGCCTTAAGCCAAAGCTTAATACAGAAAAAGGCCTTACTGTCTCCAATTCTGTGAAGGCTGAGAAAGGTGAGGAAGAAGAAAAAGTTTAAGCTAGAAGAGGTTGGTTCATGAGGTTTAAGGAAAGAACCATGTCCGTAACATAAAAGTGCAAGGTGAAGTAGCAAGCGCTGATGGAGAAGCTGCAGCAAGTTATCCAGAAAATCTAGCTAAGATAATTTGAAGATAGATATAATAAACATCAGTTTTTTGTTGTTGTTGTTGAGACAAAGTCTCACTTTGTCACCGGGGCTGGAATGCAGTGGTGCAGTTAAGGCTTACTGCAACCTCCACCTCCTGGGTTCAAGTGATTCTTTTACCTTGGTCCCTGAGCAACTGGGACTATAGGTGTGCACCACCCATGCCCAGCCAGTTTTTGTATTTTTAGTGGAGACAGGGTTTGGCTGTTTTCTAGGCTGGTCTCAAACTTCTGAGCTGAAGCAATCTGCCTGCCTCAGCCTCCCAAAGTGCTGAGTTTATAGGCATGAGTCACTGTGTCTGCCCCAGATGTTTGAATAGAGATGAAAACAGCATTCTATTAGAAGACTTTCTATAGGACTTTCATAGCTACAGAGGAGAAGCCAATGCCTGGCTTCAAAGCTTCAAAGGACAGGCTGACTCTCTTGTTAGGGGCTAATGCAACCTGTGACTTGAAGTTGAAGCCAATGCTCATTGGCCATTCAAAAATCCTAGGGCCCTTAAGAATTATGCTAAATCTACTCTGCCTGTGCTCTAAAAATGGGACAAAAGAGCCTGGATGACAGAACATGTTTACAGCATCGTTTACTGAATCTGTTAAGTCCACTGTTTAGACCTATTTCTCAGAAAAAAAATACTGTTTTTTCAAAGTATTGTTGCTCATTGACAATGCACCTGGTCACCCAAGAACACTGATAGAAATGTACAAGGAGATTAATGCTGTTTTCAATACTATAACACTACATCCATTCTGCAGCCCATGGATCAAAGAGTAATTTCAACTTTCAAGTCTTTTATTTGAGAACTACATTTTGTAAGGCTATGGCTGCCATAGATAGTGATTTTTCTGATGGATCTGAGCAAACTAGATTGAAAACCTTCTGGAAAGGACTCACAATTCTAGATGCTATTATAAACATTTGTGATTCATGGGAGGAGGTCAAAGTATCAACACCAACAGGAGATTGGAAGAAGTTGATTCCAACTCTCATGGATGGCTTTGAAGGGGTCAAGACTTCAGTGGAGGAAGAGATGGCAGATGTGGTGGAAATAACAATGGCACTAGAATAAGAAGTGGAGCCTGAAGGTGTGACTGAACTGCTGCAATCTGATGGCAAAACTCGCATAGATGAGGAATTATTTCCTATTGGTGAGCAAAGAAAGTGGTTTCTTGAGATGGAATCTACTCCTGGTGAAGATCCTACGGACATTGTTGTAATGACAACAAAGAATTTTGAATATTCCATAAACCTAGTTGATAAAGCAGTGGCAGAACTCAAGAGAGTTGACTCCAAATTTTAAAGAAGTTTCACTATGGGTAAAATGCTATCAAACAGCATCACATACTACAAAGAAATCATTTATGAAAGGAAGTCAGTTGATGTGACCAACTTCACTGTTGTCTTTATTATTTTCAGAAATTGCCACACCCACTCAATCTTCAGTAACCACCACCCTAATCAGTCAGTAGCCATCAACATTGAGTCAAAATCCTCCACCAGCAAAAATAACTGAGTTGACAATTATTTGCTTTCAGCACTTGGAAAACGTTGTGCCATTTCCTTCTGGCCTCCTTGATTTCTGATGAGAAATCTGTTGTCATTTGAATTGTTTTTTTTCCCCTATAGATAAGGTATTGTTTCTCTCTCTCTGTTTTCAGACTTTTTCTCTGTCTTTAGTTTTTAGAAGTGTGACTCTAATATGTGTTAGCGTAAATTTCTTTGAGTCTATCCTGACTGGGGTTTGTTCAGCTTCTTGAACCTGTAAGTTCATGTATTTTGTTAAATTTTGAAAATTTTCAGCCATAATTCCTCTAATGCTTTTTCATCCCTTCTTTTCCTCTTTCAGGACTCTGAAAGCATGAATGCTAGATCTTTTACAACAGTTCTATAGCTTCCTATGGCTCTGCTCTTTTTTTAAAGTCTATTTTCTATCTCTTGTTCAGATTGGATAATTTCTATTGTTTTATCTTCAAGTTTATTTATCCTTTCCTTTGTTCTCCCTATTCTGTTCCTGAGCCCATTCTCTAGAGTTTTAAAATTTTGATTATCATACTTTTTTCAGTTCTAAAATTTTCATGTAGTGCTCCTTTACATTTTCTGTTTATTGGTTGAGATTTTCTTCTTATAAGTCTGTCTGCCATTGTTCGTTGAAACATTTTTTATAACAGCTGCTTTAAATTCCTTGTCGGATAATTCTAATATCTGCATCATTTTGGTATTGGTGTTTATTGAATGTCTTTTCTCACTTATTTTGCAATTTCTCTGGTTCTTGATGTGGTGAATGATTTCTGTTTGTATCCTGAACCTGTGTATTGCTACGGACCATGGATTTTATTTAGATGTTCTCTTTTAGCAAATTTCCACTGACTTCACAGGGTCCAGGGTAAGGCAGGCCTCTGTACCACTGGATGGCGGTGATAATTGTGGTTTCTCATTCACCTTTTTCTGTCACTAGTGGAGAGGAGAAAGAGGTACCTTGTTAACTCTGGGTGGAGGCAGAAGTCCAGGATCTTCATGTAGTCTCGATTGGTACTCGGGAGGTGAGATTATAACTGCTGAGTAGCTAAGCAAGTTCCAGATCCTCTGTCAGTCTTCTTTGACATCACTCTGAGGGTAGTAGAGGAAAAGGTGCCTCATTACAGCCTAGCAAAGAGGAAACCTAGCTCCCCATTCTGTGTTTGCTGGTGGGTGTGTCAGTGCAACTGCATTTTTTTCTCGATGTTTGGCTAGGGGTGGGATTGTTATTGTCTAAAAACTTTCCATCTTGCTAGGTTACACTTTGTCTTTGGCTAGGGAAAGAAGGTTTTTCTTAGAGGCTTTTTTTTTTTTTTCTTTTTAACTGATCCCATTGGTGTTTTCAGATTGCTGGCCTTTATCAGCACCTTGTCTGAGATATATGAGGCAAAAAGGGAAACACAGGGGAACTTACTTGCCTTGTCATTCTTGGGTCCTGAGATCTCTAGCTGGTCTGCCTTTTCTAGACCTTTCAGAGTCCTTGTGTGTGTGCATGTTTGTGTGTGTGTGTGTATATATATATACACACATATGTATGTGTGTGTGTGTGTATATATATGTGTGTGTGTGTGTATGTATATATGTGTGTGTGTGTATATATATGATATTTGAGCAAAGACTTGAAGTAGGTGGGGAGTAAGACATCTGGGCTCCATGGCAGGGACAATCCAGACAGTGGTGATGGCCCTACTGAGAGTCTGC